TTTTTTTTTTTTTTTTGGTAGGCCATCTGTTATATTATGATGTCTTTGTGTGTTCATCAAACATGATTTCAGAATTAAAGTTTGTGGATATTCTATTATGAAATAAAAAAAAAAGGGTATTGACTTCCTGTGGACAAGATTTTAAGACGATTGCTCTTGTTGTTAAAATGGTAAATATTTGAGAAAATATTATTACTTTGGCTGTGGCAGGAGACAAGGAGTGTTATGAATCAAAGGGTCATATATATATTTTGCAGCAATGCAGTTGTGCTTAATTTATGTAGTGTAACCGCTCAGTCCCTTTCNAGCTATGCACTACATGAACATCAGTTGCCCTTTATGTAGTCAGCCATCTCCCTAAATATGATCAGTTTCATTGAAGGGAACACATGAAGTTCATGTTTTACACAATTACTGGGATTCACTGAATGTCTTGGCTCATAATTCAAACTATGTCTGACTTGCATTGACAGAATGCAAACTCCTTTCAGTTTCATTATTCATAATAATAAAATTCATCCCCATCTCTATATGCTTTACATGAAAATAAAATTAAAAGATGGAATGTGTCAAAATTGCTATTATGCAATTCCATGTGCAAATTGAATTGTTGAGGAAGATTAGCATGTGAGCCAGAATAATGGTTCAGATAGAGGTTACTGTTCTTGTAGCATGTCTGTTAAAGTGAAATTTAAAGATATGTGAATATTCATATTTTCAAATTTGAATTAGGTGTAATGACCCCTGTCATTATCACATTTCATTACATAAATTATGTATATATTTAAACTTTATGTAACAATGCTAGCAGTAGCTGAGCCTCCATAATATTGAATGATAAAGTGATTAATGTAGGAATGTTCGTGGAGTTTGTAAATAAATACTAGGTACTGCACATTGATGGTGATATGTGCAGGTTGGAAATGCCCTCTCTGCACCCTCGTCAATTCACCAACACGACCTGGATGTGCAGCCTGCACAACTGAAAGGCCCTTACGTTATGTTGTGCCAGTGGAGTATCGTGCCAATGAGCAAGAATTGCAGCGTATGAAACAGGAACAGCTGCTGGACAATGAATTGCAACAGGTGTGTTCCTTTCTTCTCATAAAAAATTTAATTTTCTCAAAATGTGTTATCATATGAAAAATACATATATGATTTTGGATGTAGAATTCATAATGGATATTGAAAAAAAATCTCAAGTTTCTATTTAATTGTTTCAAGAAGAAGTGGAATTGTTTGCTAATCAATGCATATGAATACAAAGCCTGACACATGAGTATAGTATAAAGCCAAAGTGCCTTCCTCCAAGTGGTTGCCTTTTACCAGGCTGTGGTGGATTTCTTCATATAATGATTATTTAAATGTTAATTAAATCTTGTTTTGTGTGTGATAATGGAAAGCTTGTTTGGTCAAATGCAGACATTCTGTATGAAAGCAGTTTCATGAATCCAGTGATTTTTTGGTTGTTGTATATTTCATTTTCTTGCCATTCACTATTGAAAGAAAACTGCAAAACTAGAAAGATTCAGTTATAAAATAAAGTAACTCATACAGAAGACTTGTGGTGTTTGCATATTTCTGGTGTTTAATTTTGTAAATGGTGTTAACAAAAAAAATTCACAAAATTAATGACTGCAGGAGATTTCAGTGCCAACATAAGTGAGGAAGACATTTTCAAACCGACAGTTCAGAATGAGACTATACATGAAATTAGTAATAATAATGGAGTTAGAGTAGAAAATTTTGCCACATCCAAAAATCTTACAGTCAAAAGTATGATGTTTCCACATCATAATATCTGTAGCTCAAGCTGAAGATTACTTTTTGATTTTTTGAAAATGTCGCTTGATATTTATAAATTGTTTTGAGAACAAGATGGTCAAAAAAAACTAAGTGTTCAGACACTACAGAGCCCTTAATGCTCAGTTGCATCTTCAGTTTCATAGTGAAATATGTGCCAAAGGTAAAAGTGATCATTGCCACTCTCTGTAAGCGTGAATAATGATATGCTTTCTTAAACATGAATAAAACCACTGCTGAGTCAGGAGAAGTATGTGCAGGATTAATTAGTAAGCATTCTTTCTGCCATAGATAATAGTGTGCTTCATTATGGTCCAACACGTATATGGATTAAATATAGACATTCCTCTACATTGCATATGCATGCATGTTGCAGATTACTGCAGAACAGAGATTACAGGAACTTGAGAAACAGCATCAACATTATTTGCAACTGGTGGATCTAGACAATACAGACTTGGTCCCTAATATGGAGCCCTTTGAATGTTCAGTCTGCATTGTTCAGTATGAGGCAGGTGAAGGAGTTGTGCTGCGGGAATGTCTACATGTGTTCTGCAGGTAAAAATTCCTCTTTATATCAGTGTTACTGGAATATAGTTGTTACTTTCCTAATTGTTCCTTATCTTTTATCCTATAATATGTTGGGAGGACCATTATCCTTTCTGTATTTATTATAATTGATCTTTTACAAGTAATTGATACTCATATTACAAAGCAGAACTTTATATGTTTTCAAAAGTGTATTTTCTGGGTTCATGTTTCACAAATTGTGAGGAGATCCTACCAGACCTCATTTTTTGACCTGTTTAGGGTTTTATTAAATCTTTTCATTGGTCTATGAGTGACATGCACGTGCAATCTGGCATGTGCTTATACATTAGCAGTGTCAAATTATAAGAAAAATTAAGGCCATAACCGTTTGGATATTTACCAGAACTGTTTGGTGGCAGAGAGAGAACTTGAAATATAAAGCTAAAGAGTGTTGGTGTAATGCCTGTTATAATTTCTGTTGACAAGTAGCTTTAGAGAACAGTGAGTCTAAGCATTACTTATACTAATGAAAGACAAAGACTTGATGAAGTACCAAACAAATATATTTTTAAGATTTCAAATAAGAAAAATTTTCAGATGGCTGATGTAAGGTGGAGTCACATTTGATAATGTTGAATGCAAGCTGCTGTTTCATAGAAGAGTTTATGCTGTTAGTAAAATTAGTGATGAAATTTGAATGTATTGCACAGTTAAAAGAATGTAAAATAAGATTTTGGTAAAATTATATTATATAATTAATTAAATGTAATACATATTTCACACCTACAGCCTGTTGAAGAGCTGCTTCTTCAAGCCACTGAGGTTGTGACTTTAAGGAATGTATCAGTGATAATACAAAGATACCGCGTTAGAACACTGGATTCTTATGTGAGCTTGAATGCATAGAGCAAATCTCTATTCTACTGAAGTAATTGAAAGAACACGTATTGCAACGGGTTATATGATCTTAACCATGATTGATCATATTGTTGATTGTCCTGTTGACATTTGATATATTGCAATAAGTATAACATTTTGTATAGAGTTCTGGAGTGTTGAAGACCTAGTATCATACAGAATTTCACATCCTTAGTTCTTAATTTTCACTATGAATTCTGGAAGTTAATTACAAGTTACATAATTCTAATACATAATTTTTTACAGAATTTGCCTAACTGAAAAATCCAAATAGTTTAAAATATTTATAAGCCTCCAGAACTTTTGGGTCCTATACTAAATGGCTTAGTGTTACTTTAAGCAGTTGGCATTATTGAATATACTTAAAATGCATTGCACAGTTTTCATAAAACGGTTTATAAAAATGTATTGACACATGGTGTTCGTTGGCATAACAGCATATACTTACATAATATAATGAGAAACCAAGGAATACTTTTTTTTTTATTTATAGAGCTTGTCTTGCAAGCACTGTGCAGTTTAATGAGGAGGCTGAAGTGAAATGTCCTTACAGAGATGCTGATTATGCATGTAACAGTGTACTTCAGGAAAGGGAAATAAAAGCTGTAAGTGCAATTGGAATCACTCTCTGACATATGTTGTGGTTTGTTACTATGTTTCTAACATAATGTGACTTTTCTGTCCCCTGTTTCAATCCCTTTTTCTTCCTGCTTGTACCCCAGCATAATAGAGAACAAACAAAGATATTGTAATGTTCTCTCCTTCCTCCTCACCCTGATGTATCGACACAGAGAGTATTAAAATGATCTAAGTATTTATATTCATGTTTTCCATTATTTATTTAAGTGAACATACTTAATGTTGATTCTGCTCTTGGTTCTTGTTGAGGTGAGCAGTGTTTCCAATGTTTCAAGAGATACATACTGCTTACATCTTCAGAGTCAAAGCTAGTAGACTAAGTCAGTGTTCATGTATGTATAGATTTTTGTCCAGCAGATCCACAGGTGGAAAAGTTGGGGACTAGTGACCGGTCCCTCCTATGTGACATCTTTCATAACCTGTTGTTCCCATCCTGTTCTTGGCCTGCAGCTTGGGCATTTTTCTGTTAGTTTCATATTCAGTACCATCTTCATTCTTTCTTAAAAAATGCCCTTACCATCTTATTTTGTTACTTATTCATTTTTCTTCCAAGCTGTTTGTCTGTAAATCCTCTGTTTTTACTGTTTTCATTTCTTACTCCCTTATGGTTTTGCCTTCTATGCTTCTACACTTTCATGCCCATGTTTCTACTACATGTTTTACTATGGGTATATAGTAAGTATTTAAATATATTTTCCCCGTCTTTGGCATTTCCCAATTTCAAATTATATCCCTAACTAACTGGTAAAATTTCCCTGCATTCTTTATTACTTCTGTAATATCATCTTGTATTTTCCCATTTGTCACTATTACATTTCCTAAATAGTGAAAATTGTCCACATTATTTCATGATTATTACATTTTATATCCTATCCGATGGGTAATTTTCGTACTATTCATTTATTCAGGTTGATATTTATTCCAAAAATCTTCACACACTTTAAGAAACCCTGTGAAATTTTGTTTCAGAAGTACTGTCAGTAAGTTCTCAAATAACTATATTATCTTCAGGTACTAACGTTTTAAGTATTGTGCCGTTTTTATTTATGTTCTTATTATATCATACATTCCCATGTTGAACAGTACAGGAGGAGACATTTCATGTTTCAGCTTTTGCCTACTATGCCCATGCTATTTTCACATTTATAATAAATATGCTTTATTCTCTGAGTCCTTTAGAAATATTTGATATCTCTAACACTTTTGACGTATGCTGTCTCTTTATATGAGGGCTATTTGGAAATTAACTTCCAGTGATCAGTTAATAAATGAGGCAATGAGAAAAATTTATTATATACAAAAATATGTACACATTTAAGCTACTTCTCAACGTAGTTACCACTGGAATTTAGCACTTGTCATAACAGGGAGTCAGTTTTGGTTTGCCTGTGAGCTGAGCCACGTTTTGACACCTTCCATCAACTTATATTTTTGAAGCACTGTGATCAGTTGCTTTGCTTTCTGGCAGGCAACATTTGTTTAAACTTTTGGCCTGTTTGGTGAATGTGTGTACATCCACTGCTTTGTCTGCTCTTAGGGTTCCAACATTCACAAATGAAACCTAGGTCTCGTCACCTGTTACTGGTACTAATGTGATTGAGATATTCGTCACCATGCTTGTGGTATGACTATAAAAAAGTCAAAGCCAAAACCATTCTCTGCATTGTGTGTGCAGCTGTGAACATTTTCGGAACCCATATTGCGCAAAACTTGTGATAACCTTACCTAGCTGTGATCATCTCATAGAGAACAGTGAGAGAAATTTGTGGAAATTCACGTGAAAGTTCGGAAATTGTGAAGCACCCATCTTTCAAAAATTTTTTGGCCAACACTTTCAACAAGATCACTCACTACAGATGACTGTCCAACCACTTCACTCTTCATCGTGGATATTTATTCACCTGCCCATCTTTGAACAGTCTACACCATCGCCTTACAGTACTTTCACTCATTACATTTTGGCCATAAACCACACATAATTCATGATGGATCTCCATATCACTTATGTTTTTAACCTGAAGAAAACTGATAACAGCGTTAATTTGACAGCAGTTGGGATTATCAATTGCAGGACCCATCATAACTCACTCCTTAGAGACAAGAGCAAATAGTTATGTGATGATGTATAAGACAGTGAGTCATGTGACACTACCTCGCACATGTGTGAGCTCTCTCCAGCTCCTATATTAGTTGTCTAAAATGGAGATTACTTTTCAAATAGCCCTTGTACATGTATTATCATATACCTCTTTCTCAGTATCCTCTTCTATTGCATTCACTGTCATTTTAATTCCTTGTATTCAGTATTTTACCAGTTAAAGTAAAACTTCATATCACCCTAAATTTTTGTTTAAGACTAACAAGTAGTTTTACTTATGGACACAGTGAATGGATAAATAAGTATGAGAAGTAGACATATGTGTCTAGTTTACCTGCTCCAAGTTTTCTTACCACTTTGTACTCGTATGTTGAAATATAGTTCCATGTCCATGAAATGTGTCTTTGAAGTCTTTTTCATACATATAATATTTGGTGAATCCTGGTGATCTGAGACGTTCATTTAAATGCCCTTCACTTTATATTTAGTACATTAAGTACAGCATGGCACACTTAATTATAAATCATGATACTACATTAGGTGTGGCAAGAGGATGGTGTAGGACATTAAATATAATTAGTGAGGTTAACAATCCTTTATATTTGCAGCTAGTTCCTGCAGATGTATATGAACAGCATTTGGCAAAATCTGTAGCTCAAGCTGAAAACAAAATAGGGAATGCATTCCATTGCAAAACTCCTGACTGCAGAGGCTGGTGCATTTTTGAAGATAATGTCAATGAGTTTAGATGCCCTGTTTGCAGAAGAACAAATTGTCTCACTTGCCAGGTAAGTCATTAGATTTGTCTTCTGTATCTTCATATCACAGTGATATGTTGACTCAAGCCAAGGCCCTGTAGTAGTTTCTTTGTGTGTGTGCGCCTGTGAAGGAATACAATGAAACTTAAGTGTTTTGTCTGTAATTTTACAGGCAGTCCATGATGGTATGAACTGCAAACAGTATCAGGAGCAAGTGAAGCAGGAATCAGAAACTAATGCTGAAGCCCGCCGAACTAAAGAGATGTTAGAGGTGAGCTATGCGTTTGTATCTTTACTCAATTTTTTGGACAGTTTGGATCAGTAACCTTTATTTTTGTTATTTAAAACTATTTACATTTTCCATTTTATGATGCCATACATGCAAAAGAATTATAGCAAAACAGTTTATCATAATTTACATTGTATTCCCAAATGGAAAAAGTACAGCATGTATGAAATACAAGTTCTGGAAAGAACTTAAAGGACATGTTTTGTACAGCCTGCTCTAGGCCAGTCACAGGGACAGACATTGAATTAATTCTTGTAGGATCAGTAACCAACACTAAATAACAGTAAAAACTGGTTAGCACACCATGACGAGGTCAGTGGGAGGACATTGTGCAATAAAAAAATGTATATTTTTCCTTCACAAAAAGCAGAAAAGGCATTATAAATAGGTGAACATTTTAAGAGTAAATATAGTATACAATTTAATTTCAGCACTTAACACACAGTAATGGTTTTTCTTAAAAGCAATTTCAAATGCCCATCGCAAAAGTTACTGATATGCATATAGTTCTATTATGCCAATGATCTAGCCTCTTACAGGATCTGCTGTTATCACTGAGCTAACTCTGCTGATAGAACTCAAATGTTCAACATTGTGATGACATGAGGGAACCTTTATTGGACATGATCCTGAACCAATATAGCCTTTATCATATGCTCACAACCTGTTCCAGTCATATCCTAAAATCTGCCAATCTTGCTGAGTCTATATAGAGAACCTGTATTATATGTACTGGTTGCAAAAGAGCTGAGAGGGGAGGAGAACAGTGCAAAGGTCTGAATGATCCATGTTTAGGAAATGGTTGAACGAGGAGAAGCTATGAACTGCCCTACATGCCAAGTAATCCTAATGAAAAAGTGGGGTTGTGACTGGCTACGCTGTTCCATGTGCAAGACTGAGATATGCTGGGTTACACGAGGGCCCAGATGGGGTCCTGGGGTGAGTATAAAACCTTTATTTTTTTTATTATATTTAGTATGGGGAAATGACCACCAGGGAATCTTTCTTCAACATGTAGTTCGTAAAAGTGAACTTTTGACAGTGTCTCATCTTGCAAATTATATAATTGTATACAAATATATATATATATGGAACTGAACAACTTTATCAAACATTCTGATCTCTTTAGAAAGAAAGTATTCTCACATATTAACAACCCTACCTATAGTCATAGTGATTTGTTGAGGAATCTTGCCAGGCCAGTGCTACTGCTTACCATGATAATCATTTCATGTCATTTTACAAATATTACTACCAAATCTTCATACTTCCTGCAATATATGTGCATTATTCTTCTGCTCATTCCTCCCCCTCCCCCACTTTTATTATTATTACTATTATTATTAGTAGTAGTAGTAGTAGTAGTATTGTTGTTGTTGTTGTTGTTGTTGTTGTTGTTCTTGTTCTTGTTGTTCTTGTTCTGAGATTGTTTCCTTTTTATATTAGTTGGTGGATGAAAGTCTAATTATCCCTTCCTTTAACCTCTTTTTTTATTCTTGTCATCTCTTTTCTCTGTTTTTGATGTCTTCTGGTACCTGGCTAAATTATAACCTCATTAACCTTTAGCAACCAGGATTATCACAGTTGAGACCCAAAAAGTAGATATGTGAATGAATGTCTTCAGAATAAAATTATCATCTTTTCTAATGATTCTAATGAGTTGATTAAAAGGTAATTATAATTATTTTATTCAAGATACAGCCATTGATGATTTTATGTTTGATGTTAACAATGAAACAATATGTTGGGCCCTTCCTTATTGGAGGCTGTTTAACTTATGTGTATATGTGTTAAATGATATGAACTCTGTCCCAAGTGCAAACAATATATTATATGTCCTTGATCTTGCTCTCCTTTACACTACATGTTTCGGCCTCAAATGGCCATCATCAGGTGTATACACTCACGTTCTGTTACACTGCACTTAGTTTAAAATTTAACATTTAAAAATACACTGTTCCTTTCCTTGTTATTATCAACATCTACTTCGTTGATATCTGTCAGGTTTATAGATTAATTTTGTTACACACGTTAGCACTTATAAGATCTTTAGTTCTGATTTTAAATCCTTTAAAATTTTTCTCCAAATTTTAAAATTTAAAATTGTCAGGGTTACTCGCCCTATGTCCGTAGTGCTGCAGCAGCTAGTTCTTGTTTCCAGCACTGTACTGGTGTTATTTTGTGTAGTCTCCGTGTGTGTGTGCCGCTGCTATTCTTTACTATGAGTTCATATCATTTATCGTATAGTGTGCAACAGGATGCTTAAATATAATAGTGTATATGTGTGTTTGTATGCAGGGCAAGGGAGACACAACAGGGGGATGTCAGTGTGGAGTGAATGGTGTGAAGTGCCATCCCCGCTGTAATTACTGCCATTGAGAAATCTTCTTTCCATGTGTGATGTTACATGAATATTATTTTAAGTTAAAATATCTCAATTTTTGTATTTGAAAGGGTGAATTGTAATATTTATCATGTTCTAGTCATATACAATGAAGTCTTTTTTTTTTTTCTAATTTCCTATTATTAATGATGCCATCCAGTGATTTTACAAACAAGCTGCCTTGAATGTGACAATAAAGTTAACAGACTGTTGAGAATCTTGTTTTTAATTTTCCTTGCTTCAAGTGAAGTAGTAAGTAAAACTGAATTGTGGACAAAGTACCTTTATATGAGACAAACTCTGTCTTAAGTGCAACAATTTGATTGTAGTTCTTTCTTCTTTCCTTCCTCTACACTACATGTTTCGGCCCTAAATGGCCATCATCAGGTGTATATTCTTACGTAGCTGCTACACTGCCAGCAGTAAAGTACCTTTGTTGGAAAAATCATGCAGGCTGATCCTCTCACTAAAGGCCCAGACTTTCAGCAATAAAACCACTAGTTATGCACCAATAGTGTTCAAGTGGAGGTACATGCCTCAGTTATTGTGAAACTGAATCCTGTCACCCCGTGGACAGTAGTGAACACCAGTTCTTGGACCATTTTGTTGTATGCAATGTGGTGGCCAGTCTGCATTTCCTTCTCATGGCTGAAAGATGTACTAGACTGAGGAATGTATTCCTCGTTCACACATATTGGCAAACAGGGTTATTCAAGAAGTCAGAGAGGTCACCTCAGGACATATTTGAGGATAGATCAGCACTACTGAAATATTATATTCAGAAGTTGGTGAAAAATTGAAGATGACACAAAGCTTCATTATTATTTTTTCATTTGTTCACTTGCACCCTCATATGTGATGGGCTATAGTTGCACAGGGGCTTGTATGTATGTACAACATTTCATCAACACTGGTGCATACCAGGCAGGTTGGTATAGTGGTAACATTTGAGATTTGTGTTTTTGAAGTCCTTGTTTCCAATATCAGTTGGGACACTCGCTGTCCAGGTAGGATTTAAGAGATTTTCCATTCTATTCCTTTCACCAATTTCTTTTCCCATACTTAACGTAGAATGAACACTGCTTGTAGCATAAGATGATGCTCTATATTAATATAAATTCCAGAGATTTATTGGCATTTTTCGTACAGTCCTTCAAGTAGGTATTTCTTGCATGAATTGGTCAAATGGAATGACCAGTACATTGGTCACTTTGCCCCTGTGAAATAGGTGATGGGAAAATAATCAGTCGTGAATGACTGGAGAAACTGGTTGATTCAAAGAAAATCTGCCCTTACACAAATATGTACATCACAAAACAAGCATAAAGTGAATGATAAGGTAAGATGCCATATTCTCTTTCTGGCTTTTGGATTTGATGCCATGTGAGTTCAGAGGCACTGCCAAAACTGAAATCATAGGAATGTCCAGAATCAAAATTTTCATTGTTGCAAAGTACCAAACATCTCCATTTGGCCACCAACTTAGCATTTGTAGCATCATCTGCCTGATGATGCTCTCTCACGTTAGCAATGGATTGCTTCGTCTGTTCAGGGCACAACAATAAGGAAGTTCAATGAGGCTATAAGAATTATGGATCTCCGGTGCGTGGTTTGTTACTGAAGTAGTTGTTTGTATGACCTCTGCACCATATGTCATGTATATAATAATGAAACAGACTTCTTCCAGAATGTATAATACCTGCACTATAGGGAGTCTTGTTGCATGTACATCATGCTGATATCAATGGAAAGTGTTGCTGCTGGTTCATTGAAAGAGAGTGCATGAAAAAATTCGACCAGGCCCAATTGCACTAGAAGACACCCTCAGTATTTGAGATTTGATTTATTCTTTGTACAACTGAATTGCTGATTGGTATCCACTAGGTCCATAGCGTGCACCGTCTTGCCCATCAAATGCTCATGTCATGGGATTGAATCCCACTCGAGGCATGGGTTTATTCATTCTTTTCCCAATTTGTGCTGAACTCTATGGAGAGACGGTCCTCCTCCAAGGCCAGCGAAAGTCTATAAATCTATAGAAAACCGTAAGCTGGAGGCCTTGGGCAGTATTGGCCTGTCGTGCCCTGTAAGAAGGAATATTGGCATTTAAAAGGTTCTATAATAAAGGAGCGCACTGAATAGTATACCTAGCCACCGGCGCCGGATTAGTTCCTATCAAGAACATAGATGACAGGAATATCAGCCCGGAGGATTCGTTGTTACTATACAGAATGGGGAAAACGGCACAGTCAGGTATACCAATAGTGTAATACGTCGTTACAACAAAAATTAGCAGAAATCATTATTTATGGAGATTATAAATGCAATTTAGATTTAGAATAATGAATATTATAGAATAAATTTTGTTGGCCTAGTAGTTATGTGATTAATATGGAGTTCTCGTTTCTTTTCTTAAGCTGCGTAATGTTATGACTAGTGGCAACGAATTAATGACGTAAAATCACTGACCACGTTTGTTCGTAAGGTCACAGATTATTGTCGTATACTTGCTGCCGGTACGAAAATGAGGTGGTTGAGGTAAGTGACTTAAAATTAAAATAAACAGGTACTGAGTTTGTGACCAATTAGCAGCATTAGGGCTCAGTTTTAACAAAATTTGAAGTGTGTTTCTTCCTGTCTTTATTCCCCGTTTAGTGCCCTGGATGTTGTGTGTTGAAATTCCGCACTGTGAGACAGTAATGCTGCTTTAGAAAAACACATTCATTGACGCTTGTATGCCGAAATTATAATTTCTCGTACGCATTCGTTTAAGAAGTGGACTTGCTACTCGTGATACACAGAATTGATGCGTTATAAAGTATGCATGTATATTTTTCACTATCTTAATGTGCATGTTTTATATCTGGAAGGTTGCTTGTGAAAATTGGGTTATTTTGGAGAGGCAATAAACTCTGCTTAGTTTTCCTGTAATGTTAACTAGGTATTAAATTAAAACTTATTCCCCTGATAAAGTTCAATATAAATCATTACTGCTGCTGTATCCAAGAATATAATCGGCTGGAAAATAACGCTAAAATTTAGGCGGTGAGATTGTTTTTTTCCTGACATCACCTGTCATTAACCATGGTGCACGTCGAGTCTCAATAATTTTGCTGGCCATATACTTAGGAGTTGTATACTCTGCAGACGGAAAAGACTGTACTTTTGTTTTTCAAACTTAATTCTAAAGTTGAAGCGAATCTTCAAACACTGCAAGGAATATTATATCTCCCTCAACAAAAACATTCCGAGTAGTGTTTTGCTGCAACACTGATGCAAACAACTTTTCAGCATATCATATCTTGACCGCTTCTGTGCTCTAGTGGTCAGATTTCCTGCCTACAGATCCAGAGGTCCAGGTTCGATTCCCGGCGCTACCAGATTTTTTCTGAGAAGTAGTGGGTTTGGATCGGGGTCCACTCAGCCTCGTGATGATAATTTAAGAGCTATTTCAAGGAAATAGCGGCTCCGGTCTAAAAAAACGAGATTGACGGCCGTGGGGATTTTTTTTTATTGTAGGAAAAATATTGTAAATACAAAAAAAGCCTAGGCAATGCCCATCCCACCTTCTGTAGCACATTCTTACAAATATCTTATTCTATGATAGCGGTAACCCCTCAATTCTTAATATAGATCTTAACTTAAATCTGAGAGTATACTGTTAATGATCAGTACAATTACTTCTTTTACTTTTGTTACATATCTATTTTATATAAATATAGGAATGTTGTTAATGAAATAACAGACGCCTTGCTAACTGACTTTGGGTATTCTTTTTTGCTGTTCCCAGACAAAATATCCATCATTGTTGCCCGTTGGTCCTCGTACAGTTTACAGTTCCAGAAGATATGTTCCTCCGTTTGCAGCCCATTACCACATTCGAATTCGGCTGTGGACACAGTGTTAAATCTGTTTAGGCTTGCTTTAAGACTGTTGTGTCCTGCTCTCGTACGGTTTATTGACATGAAGGCACGGCTGTTCATTTTTATCTCGCGGAACCACGGAGACAAGACATTCCTGTAGTACCTTTCAAAGTAGCTTACTCCTCTGTCCTGTTTGGTGTTTCGACAAAAACTGTGCGTTCTTTTTTGCCTTTCTTTTCCCACTGCATTTTAAGATTGAGGTTAGCTCTTTCTGACAAACCCTAAAGTATAGGTGTGCATCCCACCGTTTCAGCTGAGGATGGGAGCAGATCTGGTTTCCAAAACATCATGTTCTATAGAATACCGGACAATGGACAAAGTCCAAAATCTCAGAAGTCCTGTGCATGAAGATAGCTGCTGAATCCCTTGAACATGTAGCAGAGTTCAGATATTTTGGAATGACAATAAAAGTTATGTTCATGATAGAGTTAAATGAGAAGAGATTACATTCGAGTAATGATTACTTTTGTTAATTTCTGTAATATTTCTCTCCATATGCCACATCTAAAAATCAGAGGTTGAAATATACAAAACTAATTTTGCCTAGTCTCTTATCCTCTGGGAAGAACATAGGTTGAGAGGAATATTTGGACCTAAAAGAGCTGCAATAAAATGATGATGGAGACAGAGTCATATGGTTTCTCTGTCTTGTTTTTATCTGGATGGAACCAGAGGAATGTTTGTACAAAAATTCTGCAAGCTGGAGTAATTCTGCATATGTCTGATATGCCGTAACACTGCCAGTGTCATGCACGGTGTTATATTATTTGTACTTTGCCTGATATGTTTTGGCATTATATGGTATATCTGAGTTCACATTCGTGTATAATATGGACAATAGTACTCAGTACTTGAAATCTCCTTCCCGAAGCCTAATATAAAAAATGTTATCAGTGTCTAGTGTAAGAATGTGGCTTGGAAGAACAGCTGTTGTAAATCCTAGCGACTGAGGGTAGCACCTTAGCTCAAGCGGTTAGTTGCTGGATTCCCACTGCGGCAGCCCGAGTTCAATCTTGGGTCTGGCTAAGTGGGATTTGTGGTGGACAAAGTGGCGTTGGGGCAGGTTTTCTCCAAGTACTTCGGTTTCCCCTGCCAATCTTCATTCCACCAAATTCTCCATCATCATATTCACCCGGGGCAGGCTACAATAGGCCAATCAGTGGCCGCCTTGCCGAGTGGACCCAGTTGAGTCCACCCCCCACTAAGCAAATAAAAAATATCCTAGCCACAGAAACCATAGGTATTATCTATAAAGATAACTGATATTGTTAAAAGTGTTTTGCATGGCACTGTACAGCTGGTCACAGTCTGTTTTTTCTTTCTGTTCAAGGTTCGCACTTTGCCTCCTCTCGGCTGTAGACATTGTCCTAATTTATTATGTAGAAGCTGTTGATAGATCGAATTTCAAGACCTGTCAACAAAGTAGCTTTTGTCGGTATGTATGATTCATTCACATTAAGCCCTCCAAAAAAGAAGATAGAAACTCATGTACTACCATAAGAATGTGGAAACATGAAAGCCTTCCTGACTGTATATGCCATTGGTGACTAGTTAATCAGCCATTTTGTATTATTGCTTCATATGCTTAAGAACAGTGCCCAAAGTAGAGGTTAGTACAGTAACTGTACCCAGGCCATGGAAAGAATTAGTACAAGTGGTGGAAGTTTAAGTAGGCCACATGCTCCCCCTGCTGTCCACATTGCACAACTTCCCTCTGTTAGTGCCTTTAAGAAACCAAGAATGAAATGAGAGACATAGGGCAAAAAATATAATTGATGACTGGTGGTAGTGGGTGAAGACAGAGAGGGAAAGTAGCTGTTAGGCAGACAAATGAGGGAGAATCTGTGTTCATTATTTCCATATCCCAAGTACAGGTTGCACTTGTGGAATCAATGTCGTTCATGAATGTGTATGAATGTAAGTGGATCTTACCACAGTGTGATTCACTAGTACAAAATAGGACATACAGTGTAGTTTTGTTCCTGAACTATTTTCTTTAGAACTTTGATGTTCCATGAAGGATTTGAAGAATTTCAAGGGATTTATCATCATGAGCCTAAGGGAATTTTGTATTAAAATTATGATTCTGTTGTATGTAAGTAGTATGAGAGGTATTTAAGATTAAAATGCACACTCTACACACCTCTGCTTCATGTAACTAGAATATTAAAGGACCTTAAATATGGAATCTTCTATATGAGCTTATATTTACCAGAAATCAACTTTGCAACATGTGAATGGTACGAAAGTTGGCTTTGATTTCCTAGGAAGCAAATGTTAGGCACTGAAAAAAATTACTTAATTCTGTTTCCATTAAATTTTATATGAACATGCAACATTCACTCTTAAATTGGTAAAACATTATACTCATTGTTCTTCACTATTCATTTACTTTGTCATTAATTTTTGTCAGACCACATTAAAGGTAAACAGAAAGTTGTCCCTACTTAATTAAGCACCACACCATGAAGATATAAGGAGTGGTGGTATAGCTCAGCATATTCTTAACTTCAGTGCTAGGTGGAGGTGAATGCTCAGCTTCATGCCCCAATCTCTTTACCACCTCGGGTAGAGCTCCAAGTACTGACAGAGTAGAAGGCAAGGTGGGCCCAAGAGCCAGTCTGGATACAGTGGTGCAGAGGAAAGTCTTAGATCCTGCAAGGATTCAAACACTGAATCTTCAGTGACTATACTGACTGAGCCATTCTTCCTTTTTTAAACCACAGTACATTTATTTTCACACTTATTAAAGTAATACCTTATATAATTCAGTCAGCATATATAACAATTATCCATTTTGAATCATTATATGTACAAGGTATAACTTGGAAGATTTTCACAGATGTGAGGGTGTCTTCTACATACCAAATGTAAAATTAAAAGTTCATATAAATATTTGCCTGGAAAATCTATCTTTCTGAGTTACCGCCATATTTTCTTTTCTGAGATTTCTGATGCAGAATCGTACACCCATTGCTTTCCCATATTGCTCAGGGTATACATTTTAAATAGACGCTCATAATGCTGTTTTGGAAGTTGCCATTTGCTTGCCCATGAAAGAGATATTACTTCCATTTCTTGTGGTGAACGAAAATTCATTTTCATGAAACATGCAGCCTGAGTTGATGTGATTTTCATTTTAAACAGTGATTAGAGCCACACTGTTTAAACAGTTCATCATAAATTATTTTATTGTTGACATTAGATATTATTAATAAAATTTAGAAATCGCTGTTGCCCAATATGGATGTTGTAAACTAAATCACAAACAGCACTGGTGGTACTGGTGCTTTGGTACTGAAGTGTACCACCATGAGGCCTTGGTACTATGCCTCCTCCCTCCTTTCTTGCCTTTGGTGTGCTGTGTCATTCCAAGTGCAGATGAAGAGCAATGAAAGTATGACGTTATGTGAGAAGTTTCAGTAAAGACGAGTTCCATTGCTTTGAAAGGTGCATTTCTTGATCTGCGTTTACATAAAATTGTGCATTATTTTGGTATGCAGAATTCACTTTTATGGCAAACCTATAAATTATTGTGTGTTTTAGGAGTCTATTAACTTCATGTGTGTGTAAAAATCGTTGCTTTTATGACGAATTTTGTAGCTAGAACCTAACTTCAAGTCTCTGTATAGTTGAGTATTCATCCCCTTCAGATCCTTCCGCAGCCATGCAAGGTGCTGAGGCATCTGTATTAAGAAATAGTTTTATTTTTTTTTTAGGAGATGCCGAGGTGTGCAGCCTGGAAAATCAAGTTATGAACTTCATCTAAATACTTTGAAAATTGAACCATCAAGCATTGAGGTTGAAATGATTAATACTCAAAATGGTGCTAGGTTTCGTTTTCAGCTTTTTGCCCTTCAGGATGAAACATTTAGGATGAAGATAAATGAGTGGGCTCCTCTTAAACCTCGCTATGAAGTTCAGTATGCTCTTCAGGGAGAACCAGTTTTGAATAAGTAAGTGCAGTTAAGATTTCCTTAACACTTGTGATACAGTAAATAAGATCTTAAAGGTTTGTGATGATGGTACATTAGTGCAAATATTATGTTTTTGGACATTATCCATCATCTTGTCTTTATCTAAAATCTGCCGTGTTTATTTTTCAAAACGTTTTGGAGACTGGAGTCTGTCTCCATCTTCAGGTAAAACCTACTCAGTTGGGCCCAAGAGATAGGGAGTAGCTCTGTCAATTGCTGAGTAGGTTTTACCAGAAGACGGAGACAGAATCCAGTCTCCGAAATGTGTTTTGAAAAATAAACAAGATGGATTTTAGATAAAGACAAGATGGTGGATAATGTCCAAAAACATAATATTTGTATTTGTGATACAGTGTCTGTAAAAAAGTAAAATAGTCCCTGTTCATAACTAATTAAACACTGTGCTGTGAAGGTATGTGGGGGAGTGGATGTATTGAACCACATTTTCTTTACCTCAGCAATAGTTTTAGTTTAGTGGTCAGCTTCATGCCTCAGCTGCTTTACACCCTTGGAAAGAGCCTCTGGTATCTGTTGGATAGGAAGCTGGGTGGGCTCCAGAACCAGTCTGGATAACATGGAGAGGGGAAAATTACTTGACCCTGACAGCAATCAAACTCTGGCCCATTTGTCATCCAGTGTGAAAGAAGTGCCATATAGCCTCATTGTAACCTATAAAATCACGTGATAAACTCGCACACACAGTAAAGTCTTTATTGCAGTGTCGCATGTCGTCGCTTTCATGTAAATGCAGCCACATGTTTTGGCAACAAAAATTGAAAAGTGTGAAATTTTGGAGTACTTTTCTATTATTTCTATAGTACATAGTCTCTGGTTTGAACAAATTGTAAAATTAACTC